CTGGGATGCTGGCAACATCCTCCCAACATCTCAGACACATTGTCTCTCTGAACCTGAACTTTTTTAATGGTGGTTAAACATGTTGTCTGCTTTAGTTTCCTGTCTATCTTCATCATGAGCCAGCACCTGTTTCCAATAAATTATATGCAGAACTGTATCAGCAACACCTTGGCAACAGCTGCCACCCTTAAAAGCCGAGTGCCCTTGAGGACAATACACCTGTGAACACACAGAGTGTTTATTTAGCTGAAAGCCAAAACTCTAACTTACATAAAGCAATTATCTAAAGCCTAATGTATGTCCATTATTAACACAAAATAACCCTGTTCTTAAAAACCAATAAAAATCTATTTAAAGGATTTTTCCAAATCCCACTGAAATTTGTACTCAACTAGAGGCCTAGTCTTAGCCTGGGACTTAAAATTCGAATGGTGGGCAAGGGAGAGGTTTGTATGTGAGTTACAATATAATATTCTTAGCTAATGCCTGGAATTTGGGGCATGAGCACGCATGGGTGGTACAGCCAAAGCTTTAGACTTTTGAGCACGGACATGCTTATTTAAAATAATCTTTGTTACAAGTCACTTTTTAAAAAAACATTTGACTATGGTCTAGAGGTTAAAAAAAGGAATGGGTTGTTTCAGTTAGAATTTAAATGTAGGAATAGTTCATCCCAGATACCTTTCTTTGTTTGTACAGCCCACCTTTACCTTATGGTTCATTACCTAATAGCATAACCCTTAGGTAATGGGGTTAGCAGTACACTTATGAAAATGGAACCAGCGTCAGGTAAAGAGCCTCAAACTTCCATCCTGCCCCATGAAACATATTAATAATGAAAATTCCAGCCAAATATAGTATTTACTACATACAGTTCCATTTCTAGAGCGTTTGACCTGCAGCCCTTTCAAGAAATGGGATCATATACTACATATTGTTAGCAATAAATAAGAATAGGGCATAGCTATTGTCTCTTCCCATCTTGAAGTCTCATGAAATGTGAGTGATTTTTTGCTTAGAGTTTGTAATTCGTTAATCCCTGTCTGATACTTCCTGTTGACGTTTAACCGATGGACCTATAGTCACTTAGGTGCAAATGTGTTTTAGCACTTCTGTTTGGCTGAATGCAAATGCTGTGGAAGTAACTGCTAATGAGTATTACAGCTTCCAGCTCTATCCATGTCACTGTTGGTTCACATACAGTACACAGAGTGAGCAGACGCCTGAAGCCTGAAAATTGGACTCAGTAGAAGAAAGTTTAGAAACAGCAGGCCTGTGTCTCATGACAAAGTCCACACACACCAGGCTGGTCATGCTTTCCTTAAACCCGCCATGTGAGTAATGATGGGTTAGACTGCTGTGGATAGAGGAGAGACCTAAGAATGGAGCGCACCATGGCCATAACTGCTTTATTCTCCTCTTTGCATTTTGCTGGTGCTTTCATTTATTTAGCAACTGTCTTCTAAGCACCTATTCCAGGCTAAAAGCTGGGGGTACTAAGATGAATTAGACAGATGGTTGTTCCTTCTTCCTGGAGTGCAAAGACCTCCTCCGTGTGTTTGAAACATTTGTGATGAGAGACCAAGGTTCTAACTGTGACTCTATTACTACTGGGAGAGTAGTTTTGGAGCAAGCCACTCACCCTCTTCCAGACAGTTCCCTCCCCTGTAAAATGTGGAAAACAATCCCTGTGGCATCTGCATTAAAGGATTAACATGAAACTCAAATAAATAAGCAATGCAAATATAACCTGCAAATTTCAAGCCCTGAGTCCTTTTGGGAGCCCCTTTGTCATTGAGCTTTACTAGCACTGAAGCTATTCCTTTAGGTGACTTAGCTTATTGTAAGTTTGAAGACTCAACATGAAACTCACAAAATGCAACCACAGCAGCAGTTTCATTATCAAAACTCCAGCAAGCGTTCCAGCCAGACTAATTCTCCACTGGATTCTCTTAATGTGTAAGCAGATCTTTCAGCCAGAATTCACTGGGAAATATATATATATCTAATGAAAGAAGAAGAAAATTAAGAAAAATGTATTTTCCTTTTTTAACCAGTGTAGCATTATGCTAATTCAAGCTCTCTCTATATAGATATAAGACTTCCTTCTTTGATTTATTTTCTTGATTAGGGGCCCTCACATATAATTGCATGTAAATGTGAGAGGCACCAGTTTGCATTCCTGGCCAGAAGAAACCCAGGAATGGATTTATAAAGGAGAGCTCGTTCCTATCCCCCTGGAGAACTTATCTTTATTAAAGGTCAGCAAATTTAGAGTATGCTTTGCTAATTTACCACGTGTAGAGGAAATAAGTCATGAGTATAAGTTTGCACAGAAGATAGCAGTTACTGTGTTTTAGATAAACTGGGTTTTGAATATTGAAAGGGTAATTCAAAAAACATTTAAAAATCCTATTGGTTTCTCTGCCTGCTTGTCAGATTTCCCATTGGTGATGAAACCCTGCCAAGTGTAGATTTAGTGCTGGTCATGAAACCAGACCTGGGCCTGTGGTTACTTGATAATAACTGTGATAATAAATTCATCCATTAATTTCTTTCCTGTTTCCCTACATGAGTAACATTAAACCAAGATATTATGCTATTGGATGGAGAGAATCATTTTCATTCATACACACACACACACACACACACACACACATCGTCTCTGGAAGCTCTTTCTGTTAGGCTGCTAATTCCCAAAGACTACAGCTGTCCTTCCTGTGCCATGGGAGGATGATGCCAGGATTGGAAATGAGATGCTCTGTGACCTGGGACTATCAAAGGCTATTAAACAGAAGGACAGGCTCTGGGGAGGTGGACAAGTGAATTAAAACTGGATTCATAATGAAGATAAATAAATACAGGAGCCTGCATGTGAATAACCAGGCAAAACTTGCCCTCATCTTCAAACTGTCCCATAGATAAGTGGAGTTGGGACTATCAAATGAACTATTGCTAGGTTTTTCTGTTTGTTTGTTTTGTTTTGTTTTGTGTGTGTGAGTGTGTGTTTTAGGCTCAACCTACACACAAAGGGAATACATGAGAGCTTTATAACATACTTTCTATTACTCTTGGCCTGAGAGAATTTATGCACCTCCTGGAGGGTTTATCTCAATGGACCACATTTTTCCTGAGTGGATAGACTCACAAGTGCCATTTTATCAGATCTGAGATTAGGCTTCAGATTTAATTTTGTCCCATATGTGGCAGTGAGACGAGCCTGGCCTTTCTGCCTACATCCTTTGAAACAGATCAGTGAATCAATGATGATTTGTTTCCTCTCCTTTTCTCCTCCTGTTTACCTTGAAAGAAATGAGGCTTTCAATCTTCGATAATGATAATAATCCTTTTGTGTGAGGGTGATTTATAGAAACGCTCCAGGACTGAGGTTCTGGATGCCTTTTTGCTCTATGCAAAGCAGAGAGGACAAACAATAGAATAATCTCGGTGCGTAAAACTATGCTTGCTTGCATGGGATTTGATTTAAGCCCATTTTGAACTGCCAGTTCAGTGTTTAAAAATGCACACCTGCACAGAACCAGTTGTGGTCAAGAAGTTTATTAGCAAAAGAATGTTCGTCAGTTCCTGGAAATCCTATATAAAGAACCATCATGGTTTTTGTTAAGAATAAGATTCCCCATGAGTTACCAAAACACAGTCAAACATCCTGTCTTAACAAAAGAGAAAGTTTGGAGAAGAAATAAGTTAAGTATGAGAAAAAGAACCAGGAAAAAACCTAGGCAAACATGGTCAGGCCCAGGCCTTACTCTGAATTTAGTAGAAATACGGCATAGGGACATAAGAAGATTTGGAATGTTCTCCCCAAGTGTGACAACTCCTCTCTCAGGTACAAGGAGATAATAGATGGGAAATGGTTTTTACAAGTGAGAAACTCTTCATAAATGTAAAACTGGGCATCCTGAATGAGAGTAAGTCCTGATAGTTTTTCAAAGCTTTATGGCTAGAAACGGGGAAAGTGGCCTTTTTAAAGTTTCCAGCTGGGTCCTTGCAAGTCTAGAGACAGCAGGCTTAAATTCACCTTTGCTTGTGTGGCAGCAGCCAAAGCGGGGCAGGGGGCATGGACAATTATTGAAAGAGCATTTGGGTTCTGCAAAAAGAAACTGAGACCTTTTTCTGATGTGGGATGTTTGCAGACCACAGGGCTCTGTGTAATAGTATAAAACCTTCTTTGGGGGGTGGAGACATAGATGCAGATTATGCTTCCTTTGAGGAGAAGAGTTTGTGGTTGGTTGGTTTGATATAGGTTTTAGTGGATGGGGGTCCAGGGCAAAAGTGCCTACTAGGGGCCTCCCAATGGTTGAGATGAGCTGACTCCTTCAACATGGCGGCTGGTAGGAGGTCAACAAAGGAGGTATGGTGGGAAGTCTGTGGATGGGTTCTGCTGGGTGCATTTTAATGCCTTTCTGTTTTCCAAATGCTTTAGTACTCTCTTGTTAAATTGATGGTCTGGTCTTAGCTGTGCTTCAGGGAAATGAGAGATGGGATTGGGTCCACATTTGGGGGCAGGGAGTAGGTGGGACTGAAGAGGCAACCTAGGTAAAGCTGGTTGCACACAAAAGAAGCAAATAGGGATTCTGAGAGAAGAGTGTCTCTCCAGCAGGACCGAGAAAAAGATGAGAATCCCTAAGATTAAATAGGATCCTGATAATTTCAGTTTTGAAGAGAAATGGGATCCTTGATGCTAGGTGTTTATGAGGCAGGCGGTCAGGTGGTCATTACAGGCATACACTGAAGGCAGATTTCCTAGGTCTCACCCTGGCATCACCACTCACCTGCGCGTCAGTGGTCAAGCTGCTTAACCTCTCTATACTGCAGTTTCCACAAATGTTAAAATGGAGATAGTGAAAATACCTACGTCAAGGGCTTTACATGAGGACTAAATGAGATAATGGATGTTAAGTAGGCAAAGCACTTGGTATAGTGCATGAAACATCAGAAATGCTCAATAAATAAGAAATTTCATCACAAGTATACCTTGTTTTATTTCACTTTGCTTTATTATGCTTCACAGATTTTTTTACAAGACCCTCTACCAGCAAAAAGATTCTGACTCACTGAAGGCTTAGATGATGGTTAGCAATTTAGCAACAAAGTATTTATTAATTAAGGTATATACATTGTGTTTTTTTAGACAATGCTATTACACACTTAATAGACTATAGTATAGTGTAAACATAACTTTTATACGCTCTGGGAAACCAAAAAATTTGTGTAACTCACTATATTGCGATATTTGCTTTATTGCGGCAGTCTGGAACCAAATCGGCCATATCTTCAAGTTATGCCTGTATTTTATAAACTGGAATTTAATCACACTGCAGTGGAAATAAACAAGACTGTAGATTTGAGGAAGAGAGTCAAAGAGGAATGCGTACCATGGATCCTCTCCTCCCACCCTACATGCAATGCAAGGCACAAAATAGACCCTCCATAAATTTTTCCCAAGCAATGCATCATGCAGACCAGGTCTTTCAGTACACTGAGTTGGGACTCAGCTTCACTTACCAGGTTGTTTTTCGAATGCTTTCTGAAATATCCAGTAAGTTAGTGGAAAGGTTATCCCACTGGGCTTGTTAGGCCAAGAAACACAGATGAACAGACAGACATGAACATAGAATATGATCAAGTCAATTCTAGATTGTCACTGTGCACCCATTCTCACCAAGTGTCCTGACCTCTGATCTTGCCTACGACTCTGACAGAAATTGCTCTGGTTTGGCTTGTTTATGTCAAGGAAGACCTGCTCAGCGTGAGGATAATTAATAGTCACTAGTAATTACAACACCAGGCTGGGGGAGCTGGTTTCTTTGCCAGACTCCATATGAATATTCAGGAGCGGCAGGGTCAAGGGAAAGCTGTAGAGACGTGAGCAGTAAACAGGGAAGATGCCACCACATTCTCTCCTCTTTGTCCCTTGCTGGTGGTGTTGGACAGAGAACTAGATAGAGGCAAAGCAAGGGCTGCAGGCTGCCCAATATCACAGAGAGGGGAAGGGAGGAAGAAAAGGAGGGGAAGGGGAAGGAAGGGGAACTTATCTTTAAAAAACCAGGCTCAAAACGCCATGTGCTCAAGAAATAATTGTTATCTGAGTTGTGATAGAATCAAATAAGCGTAATCATTTAGCTCATTGTCACTTTGTGCCCTGAAGCTGCATAAAAATGGATGGATAACGAGAGAGGAAGAGGACTTCTAGAACAGAAGCTGTTCTCTCTTACCAGGGGCCCCTGTTCTGGATCTAAAATACATAGAGCTCTCTCAGGGTAGAAGGGGAACCATCCCAAACCCGTCTAAGGGGCGGGAGGATGCTCGGACATGAAAGGTGGGATGACTGCTCTAAAGGGACTTATCCAGGCTCTATTTCTTGGGAGGGGGTTTGGAGTAGGTTCTAGATGACCTTCAAGCAACATCTGGATTTCGACATGTAAACTTAGGTCTGGTCAGGATCATTGTAGATCCCAGTTACAGCTATGGTGTGGATTTAAGTTGCATCTCTGACCAAACATGCTAATTCCATTACCTCCAAATGTATAGAATTGATAATTAAGGGGAGGGAATTAACTTTTTCAGTATCTTTTGTGTGCTAGGCACTGTGCTGGATGCATCATGTTTAATCTTTCAACAGCACTGGGAAGTAGATAGTCCATTTTACAGATGAGGAAACTGAAGTTCAGACAGGGTCTTGGTCACAGTCTTGCAGCTAGGGAGTGGTGGAGCTAGGATTATGAACTTGCTCTGCATGCTCTTTCCTCTATAGAGGAGAGTCACAGGCTGGCTGGGGGAGAGTGTCAAAAATGAAGTTGTGAGCTTTATAAAAAGCAAATGTGACACTGGGATGTGGATGTATTGGGATTAAGCACTAAACAATGTTATCCATTTATGTTGGAGACTTTTTTTCCATATTGGAAGCATTCAGTTTCTGCATGAACCTTGAAAATATGCATATCCTATGATGTAGAAATTCTACTTTGCATCTCAGTATTTACTGCACAGAAAAATTTGCAAATGAGCACAAGGAAGTATGCCCAAGGATGTTCATTAGAGTGTTTCTGTGAGAGTAAAAATAGCTAAATCAAACCAAACAAACAAAAATCCTAAAAGCCTGTTGATAACGGGACTGAGAGGAGAAATTTTTCAAAGCAATAATAAGAAAAATTTCTTAGATCTGTATGATGACTTTTCAGATTGAAAGGGACATCTAGTGTCCAGCAAAATGAATACAAAATGACTTATAGCTAGGTACATTATCATGAAGTTTCAGAACACCACAATAAAGAAAACATTCTAAAAGCCTGTGGACAGAAAAATGAGTCTTCTATAAAGGATCTGGGGTCAGAAGGGCAGGTCTTCTAAAAGCAGCACTGGAGGGTTCGACATCAATTTAGCATTGCAGATGTGCATGGCCATGTGGAGGGAAGGTAAACAGTTCTCATGGAGAGTTTGCAGGTGAATTCCTGCTAGGTAGACAGACAACAAAACATAGAAAAAAGTGAGGCAATTATCAATTCCAAGAAAAACAAAGAGTTCTATAGAAAAAATCATATAATTATAGAAAGTCAATTGAGAATATCTAAAACTGAAAAAAAATGAATAAATAGCATTATATTTATATTATTTAGAACACCAGAAGAAATGATTTTTTGGGGAAAAGGGATTCAGGAATGAGATGAGGAGCTGCAGAGGACTACTGTTTTTATCTTAAAGCCTTGTGGTGCTATTTGACTTTTTAAAGTATATGCATTCACTACTTTGATAGAAACATTAAACTAAAATGCAAAGCTATTGTACACATTGGAAAACGAAAAAGTGTAAAAATTAAAACAATGATTAATCATAACCTATCACCCAGATATATCCACTGTTATTACTCAAGCATATGATTTTCTAGCCTTATTTTCTTTCTGCTGAAACACACTTTGATGGGATCATACAGCATTTAAGTTTTATAGGCTCCTTTCAAAATTTGACATTATATTATGGACACATCCCCATGCATTAAGACAAATTTTGTAGATACCAGTTTTGGTAGCTTTAGAATATTCCAATTGTGCTGTTATGTGATTATCTTTTTAAACTTTATTGAAGAATAATTGACAAATAAAATTGTATATATTTAAAGTGTAAAATGTGATGATTTGATATACATATATCTTCTAGAATGGTTACCAAGATCAAGATAAAACACATCTGTCAACTCACATAGTTAACACAGGTAACTTTTTTTTTGGTGCAATGCTTAAGATCTACTCTCAGCAGCTTTCAAATATACAATACTGTAATATTAACTATAGCCACCATGCTATACATTAGAGCCTCAGAACTTCTTCTTCTTATAACTGAAAATTTGTGTCCTTGACCAAATCACCCCATAAACCCTTCCCCCAACTCCTGGCCAAATACCAGTCTATTCTCTGTTTCTATGAAATTGGCTTTTTTTTTTACTTCCACATATAAGTGATGCCAGCATTATTTGTCTTTCTCCTTATGGCTTATTTTACTTAGCATAGTGCCCTTCAGATTCATCTATGTTGTCACAAATGGCAAGATTTCTTCTTTTCAAAGCTGACTAGTATTTCATTGTGTTTGTGTGTGTGTGTATCACGTTTTCTTTATCCATTCATCCATCGAAGGACATTTAAGTTGTTCCATATCTTGGGTGTTGTGGATAACGCTGCAATGAATATGGGTGTGCAGATATTTTATATGATTATTTAGTGATTAATTTCTTAGTTAAATATGTGCATTGCTCCAACTTTTCATTATTATAAACAATGCTGTGATAGATGTTTATATATATATAAATTGTTGCTGCTTTCATGATTACTTCCTTAGAATAGACCCCGAAAAATTCACAGGGATTCTAATTCTAAAAAATTCGTATATTTCTTTACTTTCTAAATATCCTTTTATTTTTTTATTGAGGTAAAATTGACATATAACATTATATTAGTTTCAGATGTTCAACAAAATGATTCAATATTTGTATATATTGTGAAACGATCACTACAATGTCTAGTCAACATCTGTAACCATATATAGTTACAAAAAAATTTTTTCCTTTGATGAGGACTTTTAAGATCTGCTGTCTTAGCAACTTTCAAATATATAATACAGTGTTATTAACAACAGTCACCACGCTGTACATTACATCCTATGACATTTATGCTATAACTGGAAGTTTATAATTTTGACCCCCTATACCCATTTCCTTAGGATAGACCCCAAGAATCAGGGATTCTTAAATTGGCATTTTGTTGTGGACAAAATATGCTATATTAGCATAAAGAAATTTAAGATTAATCTAAAGGTTAATTAATTAACTCAGACTTCAATAGTAGAAAGCAAGGGAAAACATATCCAGAGGTTGATCTAGTTTACTTTCTCATGCTAGCTTTAGAAATAGTTCATGAGTACATTTATAGTAATCTGTAAATATGTGTACAAAATTTTAAAAGGTAACGAAAAACACACGACTCATTGGCCGCAATGTTCACCTCTGCAAAAGGGCTGGGATTGGAGATGGTCATAAAGAGAACTGTAAGTTTCTTTAGAATATTTGAATCTTTTACAAAGAGAATGAGTTGAATTCCTATATTCTTATGAAACTCAAAATAGTCCTTCCTTTACCTAGAAATCTTAAAAAAGGTAGGATAAATTTTGGTCGCTTTGTTCGCTCTAAGCATGGAAATAACTTATATCCTTAAGGTGATTTATGTAGTTTACAAAGGACTTTCAGCTACCTTATTGATTTAGCTATCACAAAAGCCCTGTCAGCCAGGCATTATTCTCTTTTAATCTGCAAAACAGATAGACACATTGCACAGTATGAGTTAAACCCTCAAAATTCCTTCTGACTCAGAGTCTCATAATGAAGAAAATGGCCCTGCCTTTGTTCCCTAATACGCTTCCCCTGCTCTGTTACCATGCAGCTCATTCCTTCTCTCTCTCTCCCTTGCTAGCTTTGAGGAGTTAAGAGGCCTTGTTTGGGAAGCCCTGTGGCAAGGCACTGTGGGCAGCCTCTAGGAGCTGATGACATCCAGGAGCTGATGACATCCTTGGTTGACAGCCAGCAAGAAGCCCTCAGTCCCACAAAAGAAAGGACCTGAATTCTGCCAACAACCTAAGTGAGTTCAGAAGTGAGTCCTTAGCCACTCCAGTCCCAGATGAGACCACAGTCCCAGGCAAAACTCTGAAGTCTTGTGAGACTCCAAGCAGAGGATCTGGTGAAGCCATGCTAAACTCCTGACCCATGGAAACTGTGAGATAAGAAATGTGTGTTGTTTTAAGCCATTAAGTTTGTGGTGATATTATTACATAACAATAGAAAATGAACACTTATTCCATTGGGAGAATTCAAAATGTGAGGCACATCTCTGGGAGCAGACTATGTATAAGAAAGCATAAAATTAGAATACCCACTAGCATATTGCTCGTGCTTGGGATGAAGGTCAAGGTAAGTCATGCACCAGCCCCAGCAGAACAGCTCTGACCTTTCTGAACCAGGATCCTTTTATTTTCACCCTATGGAAGTGCTGACATGTCAGCTGTTTTTGCATGTGTGACAGGATCTTACACAGAGGGCTCAGGTCTTGGAACATGCACATGGTGTTTGTATAGCAAAAATAATGTTGGTTTGCAGGACCTACGTATATACGATTTTACTAGAGCAGAGAGCCCTTGGAAAAACCTCCCAACCCAGCAGGCTTGTGTTTTCTTTTCAAAGAAATACCAACCAAGCTTAATTTAAATCAATAGAGAAGGTAAAGGTAAAAACGGGGAAAAAATTACGTATGCACATGATAACAAAAAAGAAAGTGGCAGACAACATATATTTACCTGGGGGAGTGAAAATTCAACTGAAATGTAAGTGGAGCTAATTGTTTCTCTCCCAGAAATGTGGGATTTCTGACTAACCTCCCTATTAGGAGGCCCTAGCTGAGCACCCTTTAATTGAAAGGAAATCATGTACCTTGGACACGTCACAGTCGCTTGCTTACTAAAGGTTGCTGTTCTCTTTCCAGCACCTGTGGCATGGATTGCGATGGGCTAAATTGGAAGAAAAAAGAGCAAAAATATTACCAAAATAGTTAAAAGAGAGGCTGGCCAGGTGGTGTAGCAGTTAAGTGCAGGTGCTCCCCTTTGGTGGCCCAGGGCTCACGGGTTCGGACCCCAGGCGCAGACCTACACACAGCTCATCAAGCTATGCTGTGGCAGCATCCCACATATAAAATAGAGGAAGATGGGCACAGATGTTAGCTCAGGGCCAATCTTTTTCAAAGAAACCCACAATAGTTAAAAGAAAAAGCTGTAAGAAAAGATGGAAACAACTTACAGTGATCCAAATGGGAGATGTTAATGCAAAGAGGAAATGTGTTAATGTAGGCTAAAAACACTTCTGTCTAGGAAGAAAATGAAAAATTCCCTAATGGGTGATTCAAAAGCAATAATAAGCATAGTAAAAGTTGAATACACATCTATGGAATTAAACAAGAGTATTAAAAATGATTAGTTAGCATGTTGAGTCTTCATTGTGCTAAACTTTCATTCATTCAGCAAATATTCACATGCACCGCTATGTTTCACCACAACCCCAGGAGGTAAATAATGTTGTTAATTTCCATTTTACAGACAAGGTGGCTGAAAGAGGTAATGTAACTTGCCCAAATCACGTGGCCAGAAAATAGAAGAGCTGGGTTTTGAATTCAGGACCCTCTGATCCTAGTTTTCTCATGTTTAATGTAGGAAATCTCAAGTGCTATGATGATAATAGAAAGAACATGCAGGGAGTATTAAGAAAAGCCCAAATACAGATGGGAGCAAAGACAATGAGTTATTCCTGGGGGCTGAGGAGCACGATGATTGCAGAAAAATGCCCCCGGGGGATGAGGAGAACATGGGCACCAAAGATTCCAGGGTGAGAAATGCTCTCAGAATGAAACAGTGAGAGCAGTGTAAGGGGAATCCCATGTTCTTTGATTTTAAAATCACCCTTCTAACCACAATGCCAATATTAGAGAGAATTAAAGAGATTGCCTGCGTCAGACTCACTTGGGACTCCTCTTATACAGTTCCCTGGGCCCCACCTCAGACCATTTTTAACAAGCTGCCATTGACTGGGATGCACACTAACGCTAGGGAAAGATTCTGCACCAGCATATAAGTAAGGGAATGCTACTCACTCGTAGTACTGGCCATAGTAACTGAATAGGTTTAAGTAATGCTGATAGCAGGGTTAGCTCACTGGGGAACCCAAATCACATACTTACATGGCCCAAATCCATGGCGTGGGTAACATTTTTAAAAAGATCATGAATAAGGTGATATCACTTATCCTTTCACTCCTACCCTAAACAAGCAAATCAATGAACGAATGAATGAGACATGAAATAAGGTGACAGCATGTGTCCTGGGCTGGACTCCCTGGATGAAGCTGTTGTGAGTGGAGGTGACACAGCACTGGTGTTGCTGAGCCTCCACAGCTGGACCACAAAAATAGATGGTGATGCATGTCCTATCACCAGTAGCCAAGCCAAAGGGAAAACTGGAGGGACTGTCAACTTGAGAAATGCCTGAAGTTTGAGAATGTCTATAATAAAAAAGTTTCTATGCTTTTTTATCTCTACACATCGGGTGCGTTTTCTCTTCATTTTATTCTGCATACAGCATGACCTTTGGCACCGAGTCTCAGGGAATGGGTGGCTGCTCAGGAGGCCGTGGCCTGCCCCCTCTGCCTCTCCTAGTTAGATAAAGACCTTCTTTACTCGAAAATTTTTTTCCCAGCTGTATTCAGATATATTGGCATATAACATTGTGTAAGTTTAAGATGTACAACGTATTGATTTGATATACTTACACATTCCAAAATGATTAGCACTATAGCATTAGCTAACACCTCCATCACGTCACATAATTACCATTTCTTTTTCATGGAGAGAACATTTCAAATCTACTCTCTTAATGAGTTTCAAGTATATAATACATTATTGTTAACTATAGTCCCAATGCTGTGCATTAGATTCCCAGAACGTATTCATCATCTAGCTGTATCCACACCTTCTTTAATTTTATACTTCTTGGTGAGAATGGAAAGCAGCCTTTAGATGAACCAAAGAGATGACTTGTCAAGGAATCTAGCAGACCTTTTCCTCTCTACCATTTCTATAGAAAGGTTTGACTCCAGCATCTGTGTTTTATCCCAGCATTTCACAAATCTCTCCTAATACAGACCATTGCCTGAATCCCCGCAGCCTTGTACTTCTAAAGCATCCCCGCCGTGTGTTTACTGTTATTGCTCTCGCCAGCAGACATGGAACTGAGATGATATTTCCAAAAATAAAATGGCTCCCCCTTTCGCTACCTGTCTCAGAATCACACTGGGTCCTGAAACAAGCCGGAAACACCGTTCATAGCAACTCCCTAGCTGCCAGGAGATTTGTTTTCAAAGCTCCTGAAAAGCCGCATCTGATTCATCCTCAAAACCTACTTGTCAGGGGAATAAACACCCAGTGTCAGAACTTCTCGAGAAATCTAGTGATGAAAGGCCTTTAACAATGAACAAATTAAATTCAGTTTTGATGCCAGCAACAGAAAGAAAGTGAAGTGAAGAGGCGCAGAAGAGTGAGCACAGGTATGATTTTAGATAAGGCTGGAGATGAGTTAGACTGTTAATGAGAAACAGACACAGGAGGGCTTTTCCAGACAGCAGATGCCTGGGAGAAGCAGGCTGCTCTGGGAATGGCTTGCAGCAAGGAGAGGTGCTTCAGTGCTGACAATTAGCTAATCTTTTATGAAAATATCCCAGCCATCGACATCCACTGGAGAATCATCTTGGCTCCTACTTTTACCATGCAAGTCTTGCATCTTTTCTCCAGGCTTTCTATCCCAGGGCTGATACGTGCGCATCGGAATTTCCTTGTCTTGTTTCCACCTCTGCATTCCTCTCTAGCGCTGTCAGATCAAATGAACATGCTCTAGGTGACCGTTCAATACTTCAGGCTTGAGGCTTCTCAAAGCCAACATGTTAGATGAGCTCTCGCAGTGCAATGGTGTGATGGTTTCCATTAAGTACTGAGTCTTGCCCTGTAGGGATAGAGCTGAAAAATGCATAAATTATTTAATGTAAGGGCTTTGCTGATGACTGATAAAATCAAATTAGCTGCTTTGGGCTAAGGATGAATTTGAAACAGAATTTCCTCCTTTGAAGAGACAGTGACAAATCTATTCGATAGGTCTACACGTCAAGTTTTTTTGGTAGAAAATTTAACAGAATCGTTTGTTAGGCAAAGTGACTGAGAAGGGTTTAGGTTCTGAACTAGTTTTTTCTCCAAAATGTTTATTTTTGTCACATTATTAAAGCCATACCCACCCATACAAACTTTATTTTAAAAAGCAGAACAAAATTTCACCCGTAATTCTAACAGTCCAATCAAACTTCACATTTGGAACATTTCCTTCCAGCCTTTTGTCTGTGTGGGTGTATGAGTATACATATTTTTACAAAATTGATGTCATTTTTTATATATGGATATTTACTTTCTCTACATAGTCATTAAAATCTGATTTTAATGAGTATATAATATTCCATATTCTGACTCCATTTTTTATTATTGCCTCAGGATAATTATTTCACCAAAGGGTCCAAATAGTTTTAAGGTTCTTGATATACATTGCCATATTATTTTCCAGAAACTCTGTTTCAATTTATAATCCCACCAGTAATGTATGGGTTTTTAATTTTGGGGGAGGTCGAGTATTAAGCACTTAAAATTCACTTCATAGATGTTGATACTTTCCAAAATATTTGCTAATTTGCTAGATGAAAATATGATCTCAATGCTCTCTGAAGTGACTAATGAAATTTATTACTCTTTAGGCTTTCAGGTCACTTTTTTTTTTAAATTAAAGTAATGCATGAAGAGTTTTGCTCCCTTCTACTCCTTCCTGGCTACGTGATTTCCTGATTCACTAAGAGAGTAATTGTGATAGGTATAACTAAGAGTATGCCTTTTAAAGTAAAAATACATTGCTTTCTGTAACCTGAATAGCTCCCTGGTCACATGTGATCCAGTCCTAGTGTGATGTTCAAACAAACATGCTACAGGAGTCAAAATCTATAGGAATTTTAACAACATATATCTAACTTTACTTGTCTCTCTTGAAGAACATTTTTTGAAGATCCAATTTATAATCCATGCTATTACTTCAAAAATTACTCTACTTCTCCTATTCTTTTTTACCCCATGGCTGCTTGAAAGCTTCTCTTTATCTCTCTCCATCCATAAGCTCCATAAAAATGGCCTCCAGCCTTCCTTGACTTTTACATTACACCTCATTTCCTCCTGATCCTCCTTTCTTAATTTCCTCTACCCATCCTCCAAATTTGGTATCAAAAAGGTCTAGAATCATGCTGCCAAAGAATGAACTGTGGGTTGATGGAATGATAAGACAGACGCACAGGTGCACATTGACATGCATTTTCTTCACACTGGCTTTCTGAACTGTGGTAGCTGTCAGTATGGAAATGAGGCTTTGCAGTACATCATCAGTGTTTGCACAATAGAGTCCCATCTCAAACTGAGTTAGCACTTGTTGATGTCCACTAAAAATTTAAAAATCCATTATTAGATATCCACTGCATCCAAGGTATTGTCCTATATTTTCAAGAAACAGGGAAATTTGCAAAGATGAAGAATATCTGTTCCCTGCTCTCTACAGCCTTCAGTTAGAAGGAAGAAAACCATAAACGTGGGGAGAAAAACCTACCTATCAAAATAAAATGTAATAACGATGCAATCAAAGAGAAATGCTTTAGAAAGGTCATAGCCACTAAACTGGTGCAATGAGATTGTAATATGTATTCCCTCAGCCCCTTTCTTCAAACAAAAAAACATTCACCCTAGATTGAAAGATACGGCAGCAAGGCCTCCAGCTTCCAACTTTTCAATGTAGTCTGGTCCAGAGAAGGTGGCTTCAAATTTGGGATTTTCCAAATGTGGTTTTGGTGTAGTTAATAGAGGTTCTCCAGAAGCCTAAAATGAAAGACGTGCCCATTGCATCCTTTGTTTAGTGAATATCCACTATGTGCCAGATACTGTGCCACTCCCTGGGGATATCTTTGTGCACCCAACAGAGATGGTCCTTGCTATCCTACAGCTTCCAGAGGGTATATTTCATGAACTGGCCTCAATTTTGGCTCTAGTTGAGCTTGTTTTCCATTTCCCTGATCTTTCTTACTCATGATTTCCCCCCCCCCGCCCCCAGTATTGTATGTTTCTTTGTAAGATGCCATAAATTCCTAACACAAAGCTGGATATAAACAACAAAAGAATGTTTCTAGTTAGTTATGTGCCAGCACTTCTTGCTTTGTACTTGATTAGCTACTTGAGGACAGGGGTTCTGTCTCCCTCATTAGAATGTGGTATTTATCTTTGTATTTGTCTTAATACTCAGCATTGTACGCAATATGTTACTCGATAAATGTTTGTAGATATAATTTATCCCACTAAAATAGTTTATATGAGCACTGCCCTTGATTAAAACAACAGTTCCGCATCAGTTCTGCAATCACTCAGGCAAGAGGTGCTGAAATATCCAAAATAAAGTATTTGCACAGGAAATAGTGGGTTTAAAAAAATCTGCTGGATCATGAATAGATAAGAGTCACCCAAACCAGCCGGCTTGACTTTCAAGGAACAAACAGAAGGTCAGTAGTTCATTATAATCACTGAGAACCAAGATGAAAATGGTCTCATTCAAAGAAGAAATTTTACAGACTCTAGCTGAAGTTCAGGATCAAGATAAAAAACAAGGCTGTTGAAGAAGTAAACTAGATGATTATATCTTGCCCAGTTTCCCTTTGACATCCAAAGGGAAAGAAATTAGTAATAAAAAGGTTTGGCTTCCCTTTGGAAATGATCCTTTCCTGGTTTGACTTTGCAGGGAGTGCTGATGAAGCCATGCCAAGTGAAAAGCACAGGCAGCTGACCCAAGACTTGATCAACACAGCAGCCATTCGGTTTGATTCAGTGAGCATTTTTCCTGTCTGTCCTGTGAAAGACATTGCCCCAGGCAAGATGGGAATGCAAGGGAGATAGAAGAATGTGGGGGAGACAAAAATGAACAAACACACAAAAGAGATAAATTCTGGCCTCAGGAATTGGGGAGGAGCTCATGGAGAGGCTTTGGAGGAGGGGTGAGTCAGAGAGCCAGGCAGAAATGGAAGGATGGGCATTATTCCAGGAGGAGGAAGCCTTGAGTATAAAGGCATGGTGATGGAAAATGTGCTCTGTATTTGGTAAAGCGGGTTGTATGGCTGGACCATTGGGGTGATGTCAAATTACCAAAGTATCAAAATATTTGGACACATATGGGTGACTGAATTACATGCTCTGGTTCCACATAGATGTTTAGAGTCCTGTATAGCCAGATCCAGGCCAGGGAACTTTATCTCATGCACTTCACATGGGTACTGGGGGGGACCATCCTTCTCCATTCCCTCCACCCACTCCCAGCTAAGCCAGACTGTTTCTACAGACTTCCTGGGGACGGGGAAACTAGTACTCTTATCTCATTTATATGGCTGGGTGGTTCTTACACTACATTCAGTGAAATCCTAACGTTCCTTTGGAAACACCTCAGGGTCCCCCTGGAATGAAGAGGGAACTATATCATGGACTGTAATATAGGTTTTTAAGCAATGAGATGGATGAACTATACCAAGCTTTTACATGCAAAATATGTGACTTATGGGGTTGTAATTATATCGTAATTATTATCAAAATTTTCTCTTTCTTTATGAGAATCACCCTCAAAGCTTCAAATAACTATATTAAAATTTTTATCTAAAAAACATTTTCTATTACCAATCAAATGGGGAGGGAGTTGGAGCAGGCACTCACCCCATTTCAAAGAGAGCAGATCTGCTTTGGTCTATTTTACGTATCAGCCCTCTCCATAAGACTTTATTTATAAAAAAGATACCACACCACCAAAACAAACAACAACAATAAAATACTTTTATGTCTGAATATTCAGAAAACCACAGCAAACCTGTGGGAATAGGAGGAGGCGTGATAGGTGAGTGCCAGAGGGAGAGATGTAGAAAGTCAGGCATTGATATTAATAATCAGAATAATTGCTTTTATAAAATATTAGATATTGATTTGAATTTGCTTGCGGGAGAAGTTTCAAATCTATAGCTAAGTATAACTTAGAATTTTGTGACTTGTCTTCCTGAAAGAAATGAAAGAATCTGCTGCATAGAGAGAGAAGATATATTTCACCTGGCTTGGGCAAGCCATAAATATGCAAACTGCGGTAATAATATCTATATTTATTGAGAGCTCACTGTAAGCCAGGCACTGTGCTAAGCATTTTTATGTCCATTCGTATCTAGTCTATATAACAAATCTACAAGGTAGTTATCATTTTAATCTGTATTTCTTTTAAATAAGGAAACAAGGCTCAGCAAGTTAAGTAACATCCCCCAAATTTCACAGTTAGTAATAATTAATAACAGCAGTAATTGATAACAATAGGAACAGCTGATAAAGACTATATAAGAAGTTTATAACTCTTCCAAGTCCAGTTTCAAGGGCAAACGTCTATGGGACCCAAGATCACTTGGTTACATTGGAAAATTCCATGGGAAGAAATTCATCCAACCACTATGGCTACTGCAATCTTTGGATCTTTTGTTTTATGACTCTTTTTTTTTAATCTCTTGTCTCCTTTCCCCTCATGGACTAAAACATAGTTTTTTAAGCAATGAGACGAATGAGATACACCAAGCTTTTACATGCAAAATATGTGATTTATGGAGCCATAATTATATCTTAATTATTATCAAAATTTTCTCCTTCTTTATGAAAATCATCCTCAAAGCTTCAAGTAAATATATTAAAATTTTTATCTTAAAAAGAAGTTTCCTATTACCAACCACATATTCCATTCCAGCTATTTCAAGGCCAATGTCTCTTTAGTTCTTTCCTACCCCTATTCTCTTAGCCTCAGTAACTCATTGTCAAAATGGAAATAATCAGGCCCATCTTGAAGAGTGGTGTGACAGTTAAAGATAGTGTCTATAAAATGTCTC